GGCAGGTCTCTAGGTCGGCAGCAAAAAGTAGGTTGCCAAGTCGGAAGTAGAGGCAGGTCACCAGGTCAACAGCAGAAGTAGGTCACCAGGTCGACGACAGAGGCAGGTCGCCAGCTAGGACCCCATTTTGGCTAAGGCAAGTTGTCGCCTAGGTGATGCTGGGATGTAGTCCAGCTATTCTGATATGCCATGTGTTATGATGTCAGTGGAGGGCCAAATCGGCCCCATCAATTGCCCCCCACTCCTGAGTTGAGATCAGCTCAACGAAGGGAGTAGATCCGTGCTTCATCATAGGTCCTTTGGCCTATTACCAACATATTTTGAGGTCAGCTTAGGGGTCCTTGATGTTGAGAGCGGTTTGTCTTCCCCTTGCGATTTGTGCGTCGATGTTGGAATTTAAATAGCAGGTCGGTGTCACGGCTGCACTGTGTCTGTCCTCTAAGGTGTTGGTCATCTATTCCTACAACAAGCCACAAGGAACTCAACCTGCGGGGGCAACTTTACTAACTATAGGTTGTCAGCTGGCATGGGAACCTTGAAAGGCTCAATCCGCAAGGGCGACTATAGTTTGTTGGCCGCCGACTCTCGTAGGAGCTACGGAGGGCTCGACCTGTAGGAGCGGCCTCGCGAACAGGGCTGACAAGGCTCGTTCGGGCTGATTATGTGTGTCGCCAGGTCGGCAGATCGCCATCTCAACGGTGGAGGCAGATCGCTAGGTCGGTGGAAGTAGGTCGCTAGGTCGCCATTTCGAAGGCAAGTCTCTAGGTCACCAGGTCGTCGGAATTTTGATAGTCTAGTTTTGCTCTCAGCACCTCGGCCTACAGGCACCTTGTCACCTCGGCAGGACTGACCTGCAAGGGTGACTCCACAACCAGCTGGACATCAACTCCCATGTAAAGCATGGAGGGCTCAGTCTATGACGCGACCTCACAGTTTGTTGGCTATCAACTCCCACAAGAACCACGGAGGGCTCAACCTGTGGGATGGCCTCACATTCTGTTGGCCGCCAACTCTCGCAGAGAGCACGTAGAGCTCGACATATGGGGGTGGTCTCACAATTTGGGAGATTCTATCCGGGCAAGACTACGAAAACTCATTTGGGCTAATTATTTTGTTTTTGCCCCCCTAAGGGGTTCTTTCGATCAAGCGTTGTTGTTGTTGCTTGAAGATGTTATTACTTGAGGCTCAGAGAATCGGGTGAGAACATAGCCTTCTGTAGCGTTTCCTACAGACGGTGCCAATTGATGATGTACATTTTGGCAGCTCCCGGCTGGCTAGTGACTCAGATGCCTGGCTGAATAATCCCTACCTGGAAGGTGGCTTGGACGGCTAGCTAAATGGTTCCTACCTGGAAGGTGGCTTGGATGCCTAGTTGAATGGTTCCTACCTAGAAGGTGGCTTGGACGCCTAGTTGAATGGTTCCTACCTAGAAGGTGGCTTGGACGCCTAGCTGAATGGTGACGAGCTGGAGAGGTGGCTTTGATGCCTAGCTGAATGGTGACGAGCTGGAGAGGTGGCTTTGATGCCTAATTGAGTGGCGATGAGCTGGAGAGGTGGTTCTGATGCCTAGCTAAATGGTGACAAGCTGGAGATGTGGCTTTAATGCCTAGTTAAATGGTGACAAGCTGGAGAGGTGGCTCTGATGCCTAGCTGAATGGTGACGAGCTGGAGATGTGGCTCTGATGCCTAGCTAAATGGTGACGAGCTGGAGAAGTGGCTCTGATGCCTAGCTAAATGGTGATGAGCTAGAGAGCTATGAGAACTAAAAATTGTGCATCTACCTGGGTCTCAGGGGCTGATGCCCTTATATAGTTGGGTTGTCGTGGGTCTCGCAAAATGCTCCCGGAATCCTCGGCCCACGACGTAGAGGTCTGTTCCGCTTTGGAAGGAGGATAATGTGCCAGTTAATAAGGCTTACCATTTCCCTCCAATTTGGGCGGGATGGGGATAAGGCCTACGGTTATGCAGTGTGATCCTGAAAGGTTTGGAGACAACAGGCAAGCTTCTAAAAAGGTAGGTCGCCAGGTTGGCAACAGAGGAAAATCGCCAGGTCACCAGGTCGGCGATAGAGGCAAGTCGCCAGGTCGCCAAGTCGGCGATAGAAGTAGATCGCTGGGTCGATGGCAAAAGAAAGTCTCTAGGTCAGCGGCAAAAGTAGGTCACCAGGTCGGCAGTAGAGGCAGGTCGCCAGGTCGGCAGTAGAAGTAGGTCACCAGGTCGGCGGTAGAGGCAGGTCGCCAACTGGGACCCCATTTTGGCTAAGGCAAGTTGTCGCCTAGGCGATGTTGGGATGTAGTCCAGCTATTCTGATATGCCATGTGTCATGATGTCAATGGAGGGCCAAATCTGCCCTCATCACCCAAGTTGTTGAATTGTGACTTAATTCTTGTTTTAACATTATTCATGACCCATTTATTGTTTTTAAGAAAAACCCAAAAACTCAATTTGGTAATTAAGGGGCTACACAACAGAGGGTAACCCATCCCCCCAACCCAGGTGCAGGCGGGATTCAATCCCAAGTCTCTACTACCACTAGTCAGAGACCTTATCAACCAATCGGTTGGTACCTTGCAGTGTAAATACAAGGTTAAGAAATAAAAAATAATACAAAAAACAAGGTTTTATACTTTATATATTTGTTTTTATTTTTTTTCCCAAATTGAGCCAAAGGGAAATTTTCATTGAGATTGGATGACCCATTTCCTGTTTATTATTAGTCCATCCCAAGTATGTTATGTTGCTTAGGCTCAGTTTGGAAAGAATACAAATACAATATGTACAGTCCAAATATATACAAAAAATACAAAATACAAGGTTTTTGCACTCTACGTATTTATATTTATACTCCTTCTAAATTGTATTTGAAAGGAATACAAGTGCAAATATGACTCTAGGTCTCCTCGCCACAAAAACTCTGCCCATGCCTACCCACAATACATTACCCCCTATGAATTGGGAACATCTTCCCCTGCATAATACTATATAGATGATGACATGTCCTCCATGTGTAGCTGCAATAAATGTGGGCAGAGTTCTCATGAACAGGAGATCCGAACTCTGCAAATATGCATAGTGCAAATACATACAAAATAATATAAAATACAAGGTTTTGTTGTACTCTACAAAATTGTATGTGTACTCTTTTCAAAAGCCTTAAGGTTTTCTCTAATATACATATCTTTTGCATTAGCCCTCGAACATGACAGTGAGAAAGAATGCTTTAGGGGGTATATTGGGGTTTAAGGTTTTTTGTGTGAGAGAGGCCACTCACTTTGTGTTCTCCACTGTCATCTTCATTAGTAGATTCCTCCTCCGCCATCTTCATTAGTAGATTTCCTCGTCTCTTGTTTCTCTTTTTATTTCTGTTTTTTGCTCCGAATCTATATTTCTTGGATTTGCACAACACATGTATAATTTACAATGTTTTTAAATCGCCACTGATCCGGACAGTCAGATCATTCGGCCCGAAAACCATTCTGGCAATCGGTTCCGTTTTACTTCAAACTCGGTCCCTGACTAAAAATTATTGAATTAGTCAATAATCTATTGATCCCGACAGTCGACCCATTTGACTTGTTCAATAGTATTTAACCGTTTTTTATTTTTTATCAGAATGGTCCATCCATTCAAACCGAACAGTCAAACTATCAACTCAAAAACTAGTGGCCAAAACGATTTCAGTTCCAAATCGTTTTTATAAACATTGATAATTTATATTTTTTTATTTTGCACAACACATGTACAATCTATATTTTTTTTGTTTTGCACATGTTTACAGAACGTTTAGCATGTTTACTCATGATTCGTACATAGCCCATTATACACAGCGGTGTGAACAGCTGATCCCAAATGGGCTTTTGCCCTATTGAGATTCGGGCTCGTCATGATACCTCCCTTTACCTCCTGATTTTAGTTCATTTATTTATGCAAAAACAGTGTCGGGTTCGGGTCAAGACCTGTTCATGGCCACGCTCAGATTTGACTTTGACAAAATTTGAAGCCTGAACCCGATACAATGTAAAGTCAGGCTCAAAGCCCACCCCCCAAGAGGTGAACAGGTCTAGAACCTCAGCTCAGATGAAACAAACATCATGTCAGGATCAAGAAAATGGTGGAAATGCTTCCAAACAATAATGATCATGAGAGGGATGTCTCGTGAAAAATGCAGTAGAGTGGCCCTTTGAATTCCATATTAACCCCTAGATTGTGTCACAACAGTGGTGGAAAGATTCCAAATTCATATTCAAACTATGAGCCATGAAAGTATGTTTACAGTAAAGTAGCTTTCATCAAATTTGCAATTGGAGGGTTAAAAGTCCCCACCAAGAGATAAGAGACAAGAATTATTGAAATGTTGACCTTCCACTATATTTATATCCGTTCATATTGCCCTTATAAGAACTGCATTTCCATTTGTGGATAGGATTCCTTCCTTTTTCTGTTTCTCGTGTCGTTATCTTTAAAGACAACGACGCTTTATACCAGTATCATTATAATAAATTGGCGTTTGCGAACATCAGATTCCAAAGAAAGCCATACACACACAAAAAAAAAGCTAGAACCTTTATTCCTTGAAAGAACGGTAATAAAGCTATGGGATTAACTTTCTCAATCTCAAGTGAAGATACGAGTCATTTCTCCCTAATGAGATTGTAGCTCTGAATATAGTAAATAAACAAATGAAATAAGTAGTATCACATCTAATACCCGTTGGTTGTAGTGTTGTACCCATTATCAAATCTTTATGTGGGGTTAGTTAGCCTATCAATTTGCCAGACAAACTGCACCTCGGCAGTCAGCATGCAGTTTCATCACACCTATAAATCAGAAAAAGAGTGGATTACTAGATACAAGCTTTCATATTTTGAAAATGAATCTTAGGCTGTGTTTGGTTTGAAGGAAAAAGTAGGAAAACCTTTACAAATCTTGTATAAGTTTCCCTATATTTCCCTACCTTTTCCTTCAAACCAAATATAGCCTTAAGGTGTGCAACTCCTGAATTTCACATTAAAAAGAGTTAAAATAAGATTCACATGATCAGGAGACAATAACAGGTAGAATGGACCATGCTCTTGTACAAAATTAATCCTGCATCCTCTAGAATGGAAGTTAAAAACAAAATAACAAAGTGCTTTTTCAAAAGCAAGACTTAGAGGCTAAATAAACCACTCTTTCTGTTGGTTTTTTTTTTTTCAACACAACAACATGAATGGCCTCTCTTGGGTTTAGTGATTCAAAATTCAAATTATCAAATGCTTCATTGGGACATAGGATAACTTGCTCCAAACTCATTCCATCTGCTCCTTCACTCTAATGTTTCATTGGAACCTAAGATAACTTGCTCCAAACTTAATTCCGTCTGCTCCTTCACTCTAATGTTTTATCTTCCTAGATATAGATATATATATATATATATATATATCTAGGAAGATAAAACAGCTGGCTGTTCACCAGCCTCTTCACTTTGTAAGCTCATATAATAGTTTACTAGGACTTGCCACCCTCCTGGGCACATAAATCCATCAGGAGGGTTCTCTCCACTTCTTGCATAAGTCCGCATCTGCAATAGTCAAGTAAACCCACCAAATAAGATTCAGAAATTCTTGTGCAATAAAGATGACATGATAATCCTAATCCTGACAGAAAGAAAAACAACTTCTTAAAAATTATTAACAATTTTCTTGTGAAAAAAAAAAGATAATATTCTCTATTTTAGCATTCCGAAGCCAAAAAGAGATTTATCCAACTAATTTTAAACTCAAACTATCCACACCCCCCCCCAAAAAAAAAAAATAGAAACAATATGCTGAACTTGTAACAGATCATTGTGGTTGTTTCCAAATATCAAAAGGAAGAGCACATGATATCTCTCCAAACCACTTCTTGATAAAATAAAATGGAGAAAATAATAAAATAAACTGTGAAGCAAATATGCCCAACCTAAATGCATGCTGTATTACAATTAACATATTCTAAAGGGACAAAACAACATTACCATAAATAGGGGTGTCAATTGGACTGGATTTGGTCCAATCCGACCCAGTCCAATGTGAGTCCATTATAAATGGACCAGGTCCAATCCAATCCAATGAATGTTTTGGACCAATTTGGACCGGTCCAATTGAATGTCTGGACCATTCTATCTGTTCAAATTCATTTTGATTTATATTGGTTTCAACCCAAACCCGGTCCATTGGCACATATATTCTTATCTTATATCAATGGACCAGATATTGACTTAATCCAACCCGATCCAATATAAATTTGTTACGGACGGGCCAAGTCCAATCCAATCTAATAAATATTTTGGACTGGATTGGTCCAATCCAATATGTCTTGTTGGTCCGTCCAATCCAAAACCAGTCCATTGGTACCCTTAACCATAAATAAGAAGTTATGCAGGGGATGTGAATGGTTTTGTTTTCTAAAACAAAAACAACTGCCATGTCAGCAAAACAATACATTTATGCTGATGTGGCAGCTGTTTTTATTTTAGAAGAAAAAAGCATATACATTGGTGAATACCCCCTTAGGTTTTCCACCAGACTTTTGTATTTTATTTTTCACTAGATATTTATATTTTTCTTGAAATAGCCTTTTTCAATCAGAAGGAAGAGAACTTTGTCCTTACCTTGGTGCCAGATATAAAGAGAAAATCTTTAGCACGTGAAGGATCAAAAAATTCCATTTTCTTTTCTGATATGTCATATGCTGCCACCTGGAAAATATGTTAGGAAATGAAACTTTAAATTGCATTATTGTAAATCTAAAGCAATTTTCCAGATTAAATCTCCTAGTATTCAAAAACATGCCATCCACTTCCAATGATATGGAAGATTTGAAAACTAATATAAATATACCCAAAGAGTTGATGATTTAACTCAACAACCAAACATTTGTTCTTTCCTGACAATCTTTCTTGAATTGCTGAGAAATGAGTAAGAAGAGAGCTGAAAATCTAGAGACATATAAACTTACAAAAGGTAATTTTGCAAATTCCAGCAGCTATTTGCATGTAAAAACCTTGGTTAAACTGTCCAAGAAAATGTTATGGATATTACACGAAATTTTAACACTATCAAGGTGGCATTACAACTACTCCATACTGACCATCCACAGATATTGTATTTGCCAACCAATAGAAATTGGTATAAGGAAGCAGCAGAGTTTAATAGTTGCAACTTGTAAAAGCAATGGTGCTACGAGAGGCATACCCTGAATGGCAAAATATTTAGTTTCTCCAACCCAGGAGCCATGCTCAAGACCTTTTTGCCATGATCAGGATCATATAAATCTCTCTTCTCTGTAGGATGACCCATACCAGCAGGATCACGACCTACAATATAGAAATTAGCCCCTGCATTTATCCGTGCCTTGGCATGCCACTGAACTTCAGTTGGACCAGCATAATGCATGGGTGATGGGAATATGGAAACAATAGTGGTTTCAGGATCCAGAACTCCATCTTCTAGAACCTGAAAAGGAAAAGAGCTTTTAAAGGAAAGTCAAACATTTATTAACAATATATAAAAAAGCCATGAAAGTTCTGGGCTAGTTAAACAAGCCACTGATTTCCCTTGCAGCAAACTATTAGATTCTCAAAGTGTTGTTGTTGACTGGGGGAATGAGGCTGAAACACCCATGAAAAAGCATTAAGTGTGCTTTCTAAAAGGGATGATATGAACACTGATTCAAAGAGGTTTCTTTCCTGTTTTGACTAGAGAAGCAAATTTCCTACTTATTTCCTTGCAGATCTGTCATAACAATGCAAGTGAATATCCATGAATAGTTAGATGTTTTCCCACCTATATGCTCCTTATAAAATGGATGAAGACTCACCTTGCCATGTTGTTCCATCCGAACATCCAATGGGACATCATCCACCTTTGTAAAACCACCTAAAGGGTGAAGCAATAGAATTGGATTTTTATAACCCATTTCCAAGAGTCTCCGGCGTGTATCATTCATCAATAATGCATGTCCATTATGCACAGGGTTTCTTAGCTGAAAAGCAAACACTGCATCAGCCTGACGCCTATCAAATTCTTTCCGGAGTTCTTGGGGTGAGAGCCTGTAGTGATCAAGACCATCATTATATCTGATAGGTTCTAATACTTCCAGATCCCCACCGATGAGCCAATTTCCAGCTGGACTAATTACCTCCTCAACATAAGGTAATCCCGGAGCAGTTGTTCCCCATGTTCTAGCAATTCGTTCTTCTTTGTTGTGTTTATATATTTGAATACTGTACTAGAAATGGATAAAATGTTAAAACAGAGTAAAGGCAGTCAAAAGAACAGGAGAGAGAATCATGAACCAACTTTAGAAAATTGAAGTAGAACTACTCTTAAGACCATATAATATATAACCGTTGTGATTTTCCAGCATAACCATTAACCCATCTCCAGATTGCAAAGTGCGTCTGTATACCAAAAAAAAATTACTGCAAAGTACATTACACTGATGGTCTTTACACCAAGAACAAACCCTTAAGAATCCAACTCCATGGTTGTTATTAGGAATTACATGAGTATAGATTTCTAGGAATGTGTAAGGTCATGTAAAACTTGTACATCCACTCACAAATTTCCAGTCACAGCCTATCTTGTGGGATTACAGTTCAAAACTAAAGTGGTACATCAAGAAGAAAGTAAGTCTAAGGCAGAAAAAGGAGGGAAGGAAAAGAAAACTACTTTTTTTTGTGCTGGCAAGAAGAAAAATCATGGACGACAATATATTAGACGTAGATAAAACAACTTTATACACTGTTGAGTTGAGAAATACGAATTTTCTCCATCCAAACAAGATAAACTCAACTCAAGTCAGCCTTAATCCCAACTATTTGGGATTCTACACGATTTTTGATCGGCCATTTTGTTCCTTCAAATTGTAAGTCCTTGCAACGTAAGAGTTATAAAACTGGAAACGGCTAGTTACTTGGTTACCTAAAATCTAAAGCCTTGTAGCTCTGTTAATGGGGGGCACTCAATAAATTCAATTTAGTTCCTCAATGAAAGATAAGCTACATCATCCAAGCAGCTGAATAGAAATCTCTGAAACAAAAAGATATGACAATCGGAAGAAAAAGAACAGTTGAAGTCAAGGATCATTGGCATTCTTCAATCTCAGTGAGAATCTCGTAGTAACGAGGGACTCCATTTTCAATCCCACTCAATGAGCTTGAAACGCGCGATGATCCTCGAGCTTTCTTTTCCGTGTTTTTTGTATGATCGCATTTGTAAATTCATAGAAGAAGCCATATTTCAATTTTCATAAACGTCGGTATGGAGAAATTAGAAGATTCGTTTACAATTATCTTAGGGGAGAGAGAGAGAGAGAGAGAGAGACTCACCTTCGAAGGATACCAATTAAATCTCCATTTGGTCCAACCAAACCCACATGAGGAGATGACCCAATTTCCTCCTTATCTTTATCGTGAATGGCCAAGACGATAGGAAGAGACATATTGATGATACTTCCATCCTTCAAACGTAGAAAGTTAAAATGCAAGCTCTGCAAGTACTCATCTTCCCTCATAAAGCCCCTTAAAGGACTAGCCCACCCCTCACTAATAACATGAACCCATTCAAGATCTATCTTGGTAAGCTTCACCTTGGGCATCGACTCAGCCTCGGCCTTCTTCGAAGCCCTTTCGCTCTCCGGCACGAGAAGATCAACAAGAGTTCCTCCATCTGGATCGATCAGAGAGCTCTTGATCACAGACAAACCGTTTACAGAGGAAGAAGAAGCGGCAGACATTGAAGGAGAAGAAACAAAACGTCTTAGTGAATTGAAATGGTAAATGGATTTAATTTGAATTCTGACGTTTTGGTTTCTTCTGTCGACAATGGTTTTTGGTTTACTTTGCAGGTTAAAGTTGAGGTGGGCAGTAGTTAAGTGGGCTGTAAAGCCTGTAATGGTTCCCTCCATTTGTGACGAGTGGAGGGAGGGAGCTCTGGAGCTTTTCTTGGGTGAAACTCCTCAGAATAGAGTTGAGATCCGATAAAGTTGGGTCGTGTGTATTGTATGGACTGATCGCTACAAACTGAAACTGTGAAATTACATTGCCGCATGACATACGTTTCACTTCAATGAGCTGGTGACTTGTATTGTATGGATTGATCGCTCCCATCCCATTTAAGCCACGTTAGGCGATGATGCTGACAATTCAGACTATAGTTACAGGGCATCTCTTCTTGGCAATATCGTTTCAAATATATCATCTTGCGGGAGATTTCAAGCTTTAGGTGGGTTGTTTTGAAGGGGTGGACTCAACATCTTTGAAATGATATCAACCTTCTCAATGAACACCACCATCGGATTTATAGAATATTTAATCTCAACGTCCAGGAATGCAGCAATGGATTGATTTGCCAACTTCGTGATAACGAGGGTTCTAAAACAGCAGTTTAGAATTTTTTTCTTTTTTTATTCTTTTGTTTTTTATTTTTTATTTCATATCATTTTTAAACAATCAATGAGATGCTCTTATTTCCCATAAAAAAAAATTATCAAAATTTCACGTTCCCAATAACCTAAATAATATTCTTGCCTAAAATTTCTTATAAACTATCCCCCTCACTTTCTCCTAAATTATCTCTAAATCCTATTTATCCTCTCCCCCACCTTTTATCTATATTTATATAAATAAGGTTTGAATAAAAAATTAAAAATCTATTTAAATATTCAAATGAAATTATAAAATAACTTTATACTATTTATTAAAAACACAAAAAATAATTATAATAGAACTAATAATATTCATATTATTAATAATTTTATATTTTTACTAATTTCATCACGGAATCATGTATTAACAATATAAATTATGGTTTTCTAGATTATTCATTTTAAATGTTATTCAAATAATAAATTTTAACATTAAAAAATAAAATATTATTTAAATTGTTAAAGGAATGAAATTATGTAATAAATTTAAAAAAATCTTAAAACAAGAAAAATAATTATAACATAATATTCAAATTAATAATAATTTAATATTTTACAAAAATTAATAACAAAGCTATGTATAATAGTATAAATTAAAATTTTATGGATTATTAAATTCAATAAATAATTGATATTTTAAAATTGAAATAATGATATTATTTAATAAATAAATAATATTCAAAATAAATAATTTCACTTATATAAATAAATGATTCTAGAAAATAAATTTCAAAAAAATAATATTTATTAATAATAATTTTAAAATCTTAATCTATATTTATTATATATTTATATATATACTAAAATTAATATTTATTGTATTATTTATTATTTTTTGTGATAAATATATTTTTAGTAATTATGTATAAATATTTTTTTGTTGTTTATTTAACAAAAAATTTTCAATAACTATCGGAGACTAAACTACTATTATTTAGCTATTTAAGTTTAATTTATTCCACTCATTGTATTTTTGTTATAATTTATTGATTAATATTTATTAGATATTATACTATTTATTGACTAATTGAATATATTTTTTAGTATTTATTATATTTGTATTTTTATTTATTGTATTTTCATTATCAATATAATTTCAATAATTGTGTATTTTTGCTATAAAGTTTTAATAACTATTGGAGATTAAACTATTTTATTTATTAGAGATTAGACTATTAATTTAGTTGAAATTAAGAGTGTTCATGGGTTCGTTTGGTTCATTTTTAGGCTATTTGCCCAATCAAATCGATCTAGTCTAGTTGGGGAGTTGGTCACCCAAAGCTGACTAACCATTAGTGAAAACCAGCCAACCCAGGTTGTATCAGTTTGGGTGAATTTTCAGTTTGGTTAGTTAGTTCGAAAGATTTAAACTTAAAAATTTAAATTAAAATTGAAAAAATTACAATGGCATTATTAAAAAAAAATTAAAAATAAATTTATGATATAAAATATTTTAGATTAAGAAATATGAGAATTTCCCACCTTCCTGTATTAAAAAAGTTATATCAAAAGTATTAAATATTAATAACTTGGCCAGGTTCGGAAAATGTTGAACCAAAGTCAACCGAAAATACTATTAAAGTGACCAACTCTACAAGTTAGTCGGTTTATTCAATTTGATGAACAACACTAGCTGAAATTAATTATTGTTATTTTTTTATTGTAAAAAATTATTAAAAGTAGTATATAAAATCTTCTAGATATCATATCTTTCCCATATCTTAGTAGAACCCAGGGGAAATCTATGTTGCGTAAAAGACATGGTACCATAAGAGTTTTGACCAATCAAAATCCACCCATGAATTTTGATAAATAACACCTAAGTGGCAACCACGTTTATGATACCGATTTATTGGTCAAAATTTTTCAGATATCATATTTTTTCCATATCATAGTCGAACAAAAAATATAGATAATTATTTGATGGAGGTAGATTTGGCCCGACCCCTTGGCTATGCGACACGTGGAGCAACCGGGTATGACCTGGCAAGAGCGTCAGCTTGGCACAGCGACATAGCCATATCCCAAGAAGAGGCTCGAGCTCCCCAAGGAGAGGCCCCGAGCTCCCCAAAAAGGAACCCACGCTTCCCAGGAGGTAGAACCGAGCTTTCCCTAGAAATCCCGAGCCTTACAAGGAACCCCGCGAAGGGCGAAGCCTCGGGTCAGTCCGGGCCACACCCCGGCACCTCGGGTCAGTCTGGGCCACACTCCTATCCGAACTCAAGACCACCTCGTGCACCACCCCGGCACTTCGGCTCCAGGTCGCATGACTGAATAACCGTACCTGACAAAGAAGTTTGTACTCTGAGGCGGCATGCCTGACTGATCAGGGATTTGACAAATGACAACCGCACTCCAACGGCCACCTGCTACTACCATCTCAGTTGTTGCAAAGACGGCCCTGACAAAGAAGACAGTGGCGGTGATGCCTACCCCCCACAGAGGCGGTTACACCTGATCTGGCAGAGGCTTGGGAGTGAGTGCACCAGGGTGGTTATAAAAGGCCATCTTCCCCTAGAGTAAAGATAAGTGATACTTTTGTGCCTTCTAGTCTCAGAATCTCTCATCTTCCTTGCTTTCCCAAGAGTGCTAACTTGAGCATCGGAGCATTACCACCGAGTTCCTTCCCCGGGGATCTCTTGTTTCCTCCCTGTTTCAGGCATCTCCTGCTCCGTCAGAGGCAAGGTTACCGGTAGCTAGGACCGACCGGATCCTGCATCATCATTTGGCGTCGTCTATGGGAACGCTTCAAAAAGCCTCCCCCAACCTCTAGCTCTTTTCTAAAGAAAGAAAACTTAGCATCCATGGCTTCCTCCAACAGCAATAGACATAATGCTGACCCGAATGACATTGGGGAACACCCTCAGCCCCCCACTGTCTGCATCGGGCAGTTCACCATCCCCCTCTCGGTGGACGGAATCCCTAGCCTGAATGTGCCACGAACAGTGGCGCCTGTGAATGTTCCCCTTCCCCCCTCTATTGATACAACCTTCGCTGAACCAACCATTGTCCCCTGGCGACTAGCTAGAACCAACTTGATGATTTGATGCAATGCATGCGGGCCATGCAAGCCCAAATGCAGCAGCTTCAGCAACACCAACTCTACCAACAGCAGGTACTACATCACGTCTCTTAGTACCACTACCAACAGCAGTTCCCCCAACTGCCTCAAAGCCAGCCACAGCTTTCACCTCGGCACCCTGCTGTCAAGCAAGTCAAGCCCTCTCCTCAGGGCGGGTGCCTTCATCGGGGAGAAGCCTCCCAGGCTTAGAACCCCTCCAGAAGCCAAGCCTCATCCCCTGGTAGGAGGGAGAGACTAACTACCCCCGCTCCGCAGCATGCCGGCAGATAGGGAACCTCCCGGCCTATCAAGTCAGCATCACCTCGGCGCTCTCAGTTCGGGCTCCCGCTCACGGAAAACCAGTTTGGCGCCTTAGCCGCGAACTACCACCAGCAGTCTAGGCCCATTGAGCTCGGCAACACCGAGGCAAGCAGCGCCAACACCGGACCTTCCAAGCAGCAACGGAGGCGCCGACGAGCTCGCCGAACTACCACCCGTGTCCTACCCGAGTTCAAAGGTAAAGAGGAAGCGAGCTCAGATGAGGTAAAGGCTACTCCTATTCTTTCAGTCCCTTCCCCCCTGTCATCAGAACTCCTCGCGGTCCCCATGCCCAAGGATTTCAAACTTCCCCCGCTAGACAAATATGATGGTTCCTTTGACCCGAGTGATCATGTAGATGCTTTTCAGTCCCAGATGCACCTGGCGAGGGCCAGCGAGTCCTGCATGTGTGTGGCCTTTACTACCACCTTCAGGGGAGTGGCCCGCACCTGGTATAGGAACCTGGCCCCCGGGTCGATAAGGAGCAGGGCCCAGTTCGTGCAAGTCTTCACCGCACACTTCGTCACCAGCAAGCGGTTCCCCCAAACTGAGGAGAGCCTCCTTGGTATAGTCTAGAAGGAAGGGGAGTCCATCCGGGAATATATCAAGCGATTCAACGACGCGTGCTTACAGATACCACGCCTAGACCCCGTAGTATAGCTCGCAGCGGCCAAGAGGGGTGTGACACACAAGGAATTCAAATGGCATATGGTAGTCAAACAGCCCGCGACCATAGCTGAATTCCTCAAGCTCGCGAACAGGTTCATAAGAACGGAGGAGAAGATCAATCAAAGAATTGAGGGCAGATTTGAAAAAATGAAGAGGGAAAGCGAACCTTCCAACCAAGATGACAGGAGGAAGAAAGACTCAGCTCGGGGGGCGAAGCCAAGTCAGTCGTTCCGAGCTCCCGCGGTAGATTGGGCAGACTACACACCCTTGAACGCGAAGCGGGCTGAGATCCTGATGACGATCAAGGACGCCCCGTATGTAGAGTGGCCACCCCGTCTGAAAGGGAACCCGAATGAAAGGAACAAAAATTTATATTGTAGCTTTCATAGAGACCACTGTCATAGTACCGAGCACTGTAAGAATCTCCGTGACAAAATAGAGGAACTCATTCGTCACAGATACCTAAGGAATTTTGTACAGAAAAATGGTAATAATAATAACAATATGGCAGGTCGGCAGCGGAAGCACAGTAGGGATGCTCCCGAGTCCAGCAACCGGCCAGTAGAGCAGTCACAGAAGCAACCCCCGGAGGAAAGGCCAGTTCGAGGAACGATCCATGTGATCGTTGGAGGATCGTTTGTAGCGAGTTGCACCTCGACAGCAGCTCGGGCATCAACCCGTGAGGCCGCTAGAGAAGAACAGAATCCCCCAAAGCAGACGAGGACAGAAGACCTCATAATCTTCACTGAGAATGACGCGCGCGGAGTTCACTACCCCCACGACAACGCGCTC